ACCTGATATTTATCTTGACTTTTCTGGGTTTTTAAAATTATTTAATCATAATTCCTCTCTGGAAGCCCTTGTTAAGCGGTTTTTCTCCTCTGATTCATTGGAAATTTCTGTCCTTCTAGGGATTCGATCAGGAGAATGATTTTGTCAACCACTTTTGAAATACAGGTTGAAGCTCTCTATTGCAGCACCCTTGGGATCCATCTGGTGCAGAACCAGAGAATTTGTCAAACCATGGGAGGTAAATATGATCTAGCCAACACTTCCACTGCTTACTGGGCTCTTAATAGACATTTAGGGGTAAATTGGAGCTACATAATAGCACAGAAAATTGAGAGCCAGAACTGGTGACTGTAAATACATTTTATGGGACCCCAGGAAACTTGGTCACCCCCATGATAAGTGGACATCCAGCTAACTAAAATCATGCTGGACCATTGATGTTGCCAGTCCAGAGAGCGCCAGACTAGAAATGTTCAGCCTGTATTGGAATACAATTTGAGAGCAACATCCTAGCTATATTTTGGAAAGGAATAAAGCTGACTAAAGGGTGTTAAAGCTAATGAAAGTATTATTTTATCTTGTATAGGGCAGTCTGCTATCCACTGAAAAGATACTTGATAAAGCAGTGAGCCAGGAAATGCATGTATTCCTTTTAATTTGAAAGATAACTATCCAGATATGTAAGAGTGCAGACAAGTTGCTAAGCAGCACAGCCAGACTGGTCCTTAATTTAAACAAACAACAAACTTTTGAGGAATCTAATTTGAAGAGGAAGGATGTTACACTCCTGGGTTACTGGCATGCAAGCATCAAAGCATATATAACTTGGGGCCTTATGGAGGGGCTCAGAACAGGTGGTGGGTGTCTGAGGTGCAGGAGTCAGGCCTAGGGGGGTGAGGAAGGGCTCTAGGCCAGGGAGAGAGCAGGAGGGGAGGAAGTGAAGCGATTCATACCAAAGCCACTTGCTCTTCCCCATCCTATCTCTTTCAGGGACTGAAAGCAAAGTGCACAGCACGTCTGAATCCTGCACTCTCCAGGCAGAGTGAGGAACTAAGCAATCTGTGCACTTTCCCCTCGGTCCCTGATGAAGGGAAACATCCCAGCAATGTCCCTGTATGAATCTGGGGGAGGGCAGAACTTCAACCCCTGTGCCTTCCCTTTAGGAAAGTTCTTATGCAAAACTACAAAAAGAAATCCCAGAGAAGGAATTGTGTAAGAATGTCTCCATGGAAGGCTAGCCCCAGGCCATTTGGGCTTTTAAGGTCATAACCAACAACTTATCTCCAAATGTAGACCAACAAGCTTTATCCAATACAATCAATCCACTACCTTTCATCTATAAACTATTACTATTTTTTAAATAATTTATTTACAAAGTTATCCATGAAAGGTACTAGATAGGCAGCAGGCATACTTCAGCAACATGTCTCAAACCAGATACAGAAGAAACACCTGGAGAATCATAGACTACTAGGGCTGGAAGGGACCTCGAGAGGTCATTGAGGCCAGTCCACTGCCCTCGTGGCAGGACCATATACTGTCTAGACCATCCCTGATAGACATTTATCTAACCTACTCTTAAATATCTCCACAGATGAAAATTCCACAACCTCCCATGGCAATTTATTCCAGTGTTTGACCACACTGACAGTTAGGAACTTTTTCCCAATGTCCAACCTAAACCTCCCTTGCTGCAGTTTAAGCCCATTGCTTCTTGTTCTATCCTCAGAGGCCAAGATGAACAAGTTTTCTCTCTCCTCCTTTTGACATCCTTTTAGATACCTGAAGTAAAGAAAAAGTTAACTTACCTGCCTGCTCACTTACCGTTCTGTTGAGACTGTAGTAATCTGAACAACTATCATCAAGTGGTCTATTTGGTCAAATATCCACCTCAGTAACAGAATAGTTAATATTGGCAACGTTGCTGATGAACCTCCGTAAACGGTGACCCCTAATTCAGGAACCAACATGGTTCAGACCCTGGCAGGAGGAGGAGGTAGAAATACTCTGCGTACTGACACTCCCCTACCCCCACTCCCCAGCCAGGGGAATAGCAGTGCAGCAGTGCACTGCTCCTCAGGCTTTTTCCCCACCTCTCCCATTGCAGTGGAGAGCATGGTCAGTTTCAGCAGCAGCTGAATCGAGGACGTCGGGGGCAGAGCAGCTCCAATTGTCTGGCTGCCCGGAGCACTTCCGGGTGCCAGATGGTTCCGGACCATCAGGAGTGCCGGATCATTGGATGCCGGACCAATGGAGTTTTACGGGAGTTTTTTCCTAATACCCAACCTAGACTTCTCCCATTGCAAACTGAGACTTTTGTTCCTTGTTCTAGGCATTGGATCAGGGCATACATGCACAATTTAAAGCTGATTATTACGGTCCCCAAAACACTAATCAGATGTTTACTTGCCAAAACCCATATATTTCAAGCAAACAAACATTTAAGATGAATACTATTTTTTTGCTGCATTTTATTTTGTTCTGTGTTTTTTTCCCCCTTCTCCATCCCAGATCTTAAAAGACCACAGTAAATCTGACTTGTCTGTAAATTCTTAACATTTAAAAAAAATTCAATTCTGATCATCTGTTGTAGTTAACTATAATGACTATAATTAATCAGACAGCTCCAAAAAGGAACAGAAGGACTTGTAGTCTAAAAGAATGAAGAATTATTTTGTAAAAATGTATTTTGCCAGGAAATGGAAAAAACCTGTTACTGAGGTGGATATTTGACCAAACAGACCACCTGATGATAGTTGTTCAGATTATTACAGACCCAGGCTGGATTTGCACCAGTGACCTGGGGTTCAAGGGCTTTATGTCCCATTACCAATTTATTAAGCCATATCATCTCCCAAATCAGTTATTTTAAACCAATTTAGAAATAACTAGCATGTTAAACTGGTAATAATCTCATATAAACCAATCATAAATACCACATGTCATTTAGTATATGCATTTAGTGAGACTGGGGAGGGAACAAATACAAAAATTAAATGGAGAAATGTTGTGTGTTTTCTAACTACACATAAAAGAGATTTATATTTCTGATTTTCCACCAATTTGTTTCTTGCATTTACAGACGTATCCATATATCTGTTTAAATAATTCAACTCCTCAGATTTATGCCTACATCTCTATATCTGATTTACAATTCATAGCTTGATCGTGCTTGAAAGTTGCCATAAACTTGTGGGTAAAGAGGTACTTAACGCATATGAAGAACTCACATGTAAAATTCATTGTATAGTTGGCTTGGTTTTTTACACTACCCCTCTATTTTACTTCATAATACATAAATGCAATGCATAACATTAGCAGTAATAAAGATTATAAACTCAGCTAATGATTCTATGGTATAGTTAATATTTAATCTTGTCTAGAAGTGCAGGCAAGTAGACAAGATGACCTCTCGAGATCCTTTCCATGACTATGATTCTATGAATTCTGCTGATGCACAATTCAGCAAATCCAATACCTAATTCACTGTTGTATAATGATACTAAGAATAGCTAATACAAATAAAAGCAATAAAAACTTGTTAGAAGCCAATAAAGTAAGCAGATGGGATTTAGAATATAAGAGGAAGCAGATGAATTGAGTAAAAAGTTGTCATTTTTTGCAATCAGTAGTCTAACCTTAATTTCTTTTCCTCAGTTTCTTCCATGCACAAAACAGACCATAGTTATATCTATTCACTGTATTGACTGGAGAGTTGCAAAACTTTTTAATCTCTGTAGATTAAAAAGCTAGCTTTGATGTTGAAAAGCATGATAAAAGTGTTAAGTATTTATTTTATATAGGATTTTTCAACTCCTCCTTCCCAATTCCAGTCCATGCTTCTGGACGTCGGCCAACACAGTAATACAGTACATGACTCTCTTCAGCTAAACAAATAATAAGGCTCTATTGGTAGAACTGGGAAAGCCATACACACAATAGCTTTAATAGTCATCAACAGGTAGTAATATTAGTTGCCAATTTGAGTCCCAGGTAATTTTATAGGATAATTTCAACCTTGCCAAAGGAAAACTTGTGAGGTATGAATTATCACTAGATCAGGGGAACTAAACCTGCAGACCAAGACAAGAGCTACAAAAAAGTAAAATCTCATAATGTTAAAGATATTCAAGCAAAACAATATTTAAAACATCATACTAAGTAACACTTCAGAAACCTGAAAGTGAAATTTGTTTGCAAATCAGATTTGTAATTCTCTGTATCTTTATGTTAATGCGCATGTAGCTTGAATCATAGAATACTTGAACTGGAGGGGACCTCAAGAGATCATAAAGTTCAGTGCCCTGCCCTCAGGGTACATTTATATGTACTAGTAGAGCTAGTTGAAATTTTTGTCCAAAATTGACTATTTGTGAAAACAAAACTTTTCACAGGAATGTACCAGGTTCGAATAAAGGGTTACTTAGGTTAGCAATGGGATCCAGCAGTACTAGATCAGTATTGAAAATATTCCCTAAATCAGTCAAAATGCATGAATCTATACATTATGGAAGTAAATCCCAATAAAGATATTAGATTGTTGTCTCATCATATCAATGAAGCAGATTTCCAGTCCTGCCCCTTATTTTATGAGTTGTGCCCTGCAATATAACACCTCAAGATTTCAGAGGGGAGGAGGACAAGGGTGGCGACCAAGTTAAATATGAACCTCCGTAAACGGTGACCCCTAATTCAGGAACCAACATGGTTCAGACCCTGGCAGGAGGAGGAGGTAGAAATACTCTGCGTACTGACACTCCCCTACCCCCACTCCCCAGCCAGGGGAATAGCAGTGCAGCAGTGCACTGCTCCTCAGGCTTTTTCCCCACCTCTCCCATTGCAGTGGAGAGCATGGTCAGTTTCAGCAGCAGCTGAATCGAGGACGTCGGGGGCAGAGCAGCTCCAATTGTCTGGCTGCCCGGAGCACTTCCGGGTGCCAGATGGTTCCGGACCATCAGGAGTGCCGGATCATTGGATGCCGGACCAATGGAGTTTTACGGGAGTTTTTTCCTAATACCCAACCTAGACTTCTCCCATTGCAAACTGAGACTTTTGTTCCTTGTTCTAGGCATTGGATCAGGGCATACATGCACAATTTAAAGCTGATTATTACGGTCCCCAAAACACTAATATATTTCAAGCAAACAAACATTTAAGATCAATACTATTTTTTTGCTGCATTTTATTTTGTTCTGTGTTTTTTTCCCCCTTCTCCATCCCAGATCTTAAAAGACCACAGTAAATCTGACTTGTCTGTAAATTCTTAACATTTAAAAAAAATTCAATTCTGATCATCTGTTGTAGTTAACTATAATGACTATAATTAATCAGACAGCTCCAAAAAGGAACAGAAGGACTTGTAGTCTAAAAGAATGAAGAATTATTTTGTAAAAATGTATTTTGCCAGGAACTGGAAAAAACTGTAATTGGGAGGAATTGGAAAAAAAAACTTTAATGTAACAATATTGAGCTGGCATGCTGCTCAGAAACAAGATACTATAACAAAAATATATGCACTCTTTGAATAAATTGAAATAATTTTTGAAGAGCTGTTGTGCAACTCAGGGACAGAAGACTATAAAAATAGAAGACTTCAAAACACTAATGCTATTTGACAGAAAGTGAAATACAAAACTTCAGAAAGAAATGTTTTTTGTTTTACTTTTGTATTCATTTGTTTGTTTTTGTTCTTTTGAATTAATAGTATCTGAATGCCTTGTAAACAGCTGCTAATATAAATTTTGCTTCAAGGAATGGTAACATTTATCAAAAATTTAAAATTAACACTATATTCAAATATTTTTATTCCCTCCTCTAGCCCCATGATTTAGAAATTATATTCAGAGAGTCTGTCATTTTTTTACATCTAGAATGTAGCCATAGTTCTAGAAAGATCCCAACATGTAAAATAGGTCATTAAAAACTTTAAAATATCAATGAATTATTTTTATTACAGAAATATACCAATATATAGATTCTTCCAAAAGAGGAGGAAAAAAACCTCAAAAAGCCCAAAGATGTTCTATTCACTTATATCTTGCAAAGAATATCTTGCAGTCTTAACTCCTCTACTTATGGCATTCAATTTCCTTAAAAGGCTTGTGAAGAGAGATTTTTCTTTGCTGCTGCCCATATGGAACAATGATTCTGGCTCTGGCAAAACAAGGAGAGTACCATGAATTTCAGGATAGAGAATCCCCCATAAAAAATTCTGCCATCCACTTCTTATTCATATCAAGTTAGCTTCAGGCTGGCATGGTGGCGGAAATGCTGGTTTTGGGGACAGAGATTACCTAACCAAATAACTAGGTGCTAAACTATTTAGAAGTTTATACCTTGATTTAAGAGCAGTATCCTAAAATTCACTCAAACATTTATCAAAAATTTTGAATAACTAAGCCTACTACAATTTGAACTTTTTTATTACAATGTTAAACCTCTCCCAGCTTTTTCAGAGGTTCTATTTGAACCATATAAAAGCTACTAGAGTCTTCCTGTCTCTGCTCCAAATTACTGCTATTGTTTGATTTTGATTTTTTATTTTATAATTAAAGTCAACTGTATTATGAAATACAGTAGTTATCAAGTAGCTTGCTTTGGGAAAAAATTTTATGACAGAAGTACTCTTGCATAAAAACCTCTTCAATCTTATTTTTTCTTACTGTTGAAAGCTACAACATTTAAATTTACTTTAAATGTAAAAAAAAAAACAGAGAAAATAATCTCTTTTTTCACCCACTTTCTTTGAATGTGTGGGCCTTTCACATACCAAAAAAGGAGAAAAAATAAAAAATATATATCTATCTGCACAATGACAGAAGTACTCTTGCATAAAAACCTCTTCAATCTTATTTTTTCTTACTGTTGAAAGCTACAACATTTAAATTTACTTTAAATGTAAAAAAAAAAACAGAGAAAATAATCTCTTTTTTCACCCACTTTCTTTGAATGTGTGGGCCTTTCACATACCAAAAAAGGAGAAAAAATAAAAAATATATATCTATCTGCACAAAAATGGCAGGTAGCTCAGGGACATGTTATTACTGAGCTAACAGGAAAATGCTAACAGGAAAAACTATGAGATGTTTTTTGTTGAAATTATTGCAAAATATTTAGGCAAGGAACTTTTCATGAAACTTAAGCCATTAAAAAATTTATAAACTTTAATGCAAAATCTGAAACTATTTTTAAGTAACAGGTTTTCAAAACTGACAGCATCACATTGGGCAGGTCTATGAATGGTCAAACTATTTGAAGTTTAAATATTTAAAAGCAATTTTATAATGTCTATTTTGGCACTGATATATGAAAATTCACTTGTTTTCTTATAGCAATATGTGCAATGGTGCCATTTATGGGGGGTGGGAGGGCAATATCCCCATCTCCAGAGTTTGAACCCCCTGGATTTCATACTTGAGGTCAGCTTAACGCTGCATGCCCTGACTCCACAGGCAACTCTTAAATGCTACAGAGTTTATTTGAGCTGCTTGCAGCTTTGCCTTTGGGGCAGGTAGTTTGGCTACAGGGGTTTGCAGTTGGATCAGTACCATTAAACTTATAAATGTTCTTGAAAAGGGGGTAAATAGTGAGGTGGTAAAATTTGCAGATCCTACAAAATTACGCAAAACAGTTACATTCAAAGCTGACTGGAAAAAGTTACAAAGGATCGCACAAAACTGGGTGATTGGGCAACACAAGGGAGACAGAATTCAATGTTGGTAAATGCAAAGTAATGCACATGGAAAAATATAATCCCAACTCTACATACAAACATGATGGGGTCGAAAATAGCTGTTACCACTCAAGAAAGAGCTTGGAATCATTGTGGACAGATGCCTGAAAACATCTGTTCAATGTGCGGTGGCAGTCCAAAAACTAAAAAGCTAACAGAATATTGGGAATCGTTAAGAAAGGAATAGGTAATAAGACAAAATACTATATTGCCTCTACATAAAGTAATTGTATTCCCGCATCTTGAATATTGTATGCAGATCTGGTCTACCCATCTAAAAGATACATTGGATTTGGAAAAGGTACAGAAAGGGAAACATAAATTGTTAGGGGTAAGAAACAGCTTCCATATGAGGAGAGATTAACAAGACTGGGACTTTACAGGATGGAAAAGAAATGACTAAAGGTTGGGGGGGGGGAATATGTCAGATGTCTAGAATATCACGAATGTTGTGGAAAAAAAAAACAGAATAAGGAAATGTTATTTATTCCTTCACTAACATAACACAAGAAGCTGACCCAATTAAATTTATAGGCAGCAGATTTTAAGCAAACAAAATACATTATTTTTTACGATCAATTAGAAGAACTCTTTTGCCCGGAGATGGTGGAAAGACCAAAACCATAACAGGGTTCCAACAAGTAAAAACAAGTTGAAGGAGGATCGGTCCATCATTGGCTACTAGCCAGAATGGGCAGGAACGGTATCCCTAGCTTCTGTTTTCCAGAAGCAGGGAATGGGTGACAGGGGATGGATCATAATGATTGCCTCTTCTGTTAATTCCTTCTGAAGCACCTAGCATTGGCCACTGTTGGTAGAGAGGATACTGGGCTAGAAGGACCTTTGGTCTGACCCAGTATGGCCATTCTGATATTCTTATATAAAGCTGAAATGTATCTGCCCTCTGGCTGTAACCTAGTAGACCCCACGCATCTTCCAGTGTTAAGACAGATCCCAGGAGTCCCCTCTCTCTCTTCACAAAGTACGTCTATACATTAAAATGTTAAGACTAACCAGTGTCCCGTAAGCAGCTGGCCACAAAATATAATAATATGTTACTGTTAGAGCTGAGTGGGCCTAATATTTATTTAATTTTCTTTCTTTTATATAGGAATTAGATACAGTGCTCCCGTCAGCTAACTGCTAAAATATCTGCCAAAAAACTAGTTTTCCAGTGCCTTGGTAGCCCCTGGATAGAGATCGTGGGAGGGCAGAGGGTTGATGGCCTTGGTTCCCCCCCTCCATTTGGTGTGCTCCAATTGTCTGGCTGCCCGGAGCACTTCCGGGTGCCAGATGGTTCCGGACCATCAGGAGTGCCGGATCATTGGATGCCGGACCAATGGAGTTTTACGGGAGTTTTTTCCTAATACCCAACCTAGACTTCTCCCATTGCAAACTGAGACTTTTGTTCCTTGTTCTAGGCATTGGATCAGGGCATACATGCACAATTTAAAGCTGATTATTACGGTCCCCAAAACACTAATCAGATGTTTACTTGCCAAAACCCACAGGTAGCTCAGGGACATGTTATTACTGAGCTAACAGGAAAATGCTAACAGGAAAAACTATGAGATGTTTTTTGTTGAAATTATTGCAAAATATTTAGGCAAGGAACTTTTCATGAAACTTAAGCCATTAAAAAATTTATAAACTTTAATGCAAAATCTGAAACTATTTTTAAGTAACAGGTTTTCAAAACTGACAGCATCACATTGGGCAGGTCTATGAATGGTCAAACTATTTGAAGTTTAAATATTTAAAAGCAATTTTATAATGTCTATTTTGGCACTGATATATGAAAATTCACTTGTTTTCTTATAGCAATATGTGCAATGGTGCCATTTATGGGGGGTGGGAGGGCAATATCCCCATCTCCAGAGTTTGAACCCCCTGGATTTCATACTTGAGGTCAGCTTAACGCTGCATGCCCTGACTCCACAGGCAACTCTTAAATGCTACAGAGTTTATTTGAGCTGCTTGCAGCTTTGCCTTTGGGGCAGGTAGTTTGTTATAAAAAGAGGAAGGCATCGTGATCAAGAATAACAAAAGACTGGGCATTCCAGTAACTGAAGGATCATTAGATCATCATGAAAACATTGCTCAGTACTACATTTAAAAGATGGGGGCCGGGGGAGGGGAAGAGTAGGAATGAGTGTTGTGCTGCAGGGATCTGCATTTGGATTACTGTGTTAAACTTACAAATGTTCTTGAAAAAGGGATGACCAAGGACTAATCCAAAGCTGACCTCAAAAAGCTACAAAGGGATTTCACAAAATTGGGTGACTGGGCAACACAAAGGCAAATGGAGTTCAGTGTTGACAAATGACAAGTAATGCACATGGAAAAATGTAATCCTAACTAAAGATACACAATAGCTGTTACTACTCAAAAAAGAGATCTTGGAATCACTGTGGATAGTTTCCTAAAAAAATCTGCTCAGTGTGCAGTGGCAGTCCAAAAACTAAAAAGCTAACAGAATATTGGGAATCGTTAAGAAAGGAATAGGTAATAAGACAAAATACTATATTGCCTCTACATAAAGTAATTGTATTCCCGCATCTTGAATATTGTATGCAGATCTGGTCTACCCATCTAAAAGATACATTGGATTTGGAAAAGGTACAGAAAGGGAAACATAAATTGTTAGGGGTAAGAAACAGCTTCCATATGAGGAGAGATTAACAAGACTGGGACTTAAAAAAAAAAAATGAAAGAGGGGGGGGGGGGGGGGGATATGTCAGATGTCTAGAATATCACGAATGTTGTGGAAAAAAAAAACAGAATAAGGAAATGTTATTTATTCCTTCACTAACATAACACAAGAAGCTGACCCAATTAAATTTATAGGCAGCAGATTTTAAGCAAACAAAATACATTATTTTTTACGATCAATTAGAAGAACTCTTTTGCCCGGAGATGGTGGAAAGACCAAAACCATAACAGGGTTCCAACAAGTAAAAACAAGTTGAAGGAGGATCGGTCCATCATTGGCTACTAGCCAGAATGGGCAGGAACGGTATCCCTAGCTTCTGTTTTCCAGAAGCAGGGAATGGGTGACAGGGGATGGATCATAATGATTGCCTCTTCTGTTAATTCCTTCTGAAGCACCTAGCATTGGCCACTGTTGGTAGAGAGGATACTGGGCTAGAAGGACCTTTGGTCTGATATGGCCATTCTGATATTCTTATATAAAGCTGAAATGTATCTGCCCTCTGGCTGTAACCTAGTAGACCCCACGCATCTTCCAGTGTTAAGACATATCCCAGGAGTCCCCTCTCTCTCTTCACAAAGTACGTCTATACATTAAAATGTTAAGACTAACCAGTGTCCCGTAAGCAGCTGGCCACAAAATATAATAATATGTTACTGTTAGAGCTGAGTGGACCTAATATTTATTTAATTTTCTTTCTTTTATATAGGA